TCAGTGAGGTAACTGGGTTGGGCGTTCTGCTGGGAAAGCCGGCCTATTGTCTGATTAAAAGGTGTCAGGTGGCTCAATGTTGCCTTGACAAGCCTGGCCCATCTTCAGTACGCGTTACCAAAAAAAAAATAAAATAAAATAAAATAAAATAAAAATAAAAAAACTCTTTACTTTCTAATAAATAACTAGCAGTAAATAATAGAAGACAAGCAAGTGCTAGATCTCAACACTATTGTAACTACACCAAATTAGCTTCAACTAGAAAATTAAGCTCTTTATGATGAAAATATAGCTATTCAAGAATTACTTAAGCAACTCCCAAATCAGGGTGATAGGAATATTTTACAAAAAGAACCCAAAATGAATTTACCAGACAAATTCAACGGATCTTGAACAAATTTAGAAGATTTTTGAATCAAGTTCATCTAATTATCTGTATACAACTTAATCGTTACCCCACTAGTAAAATTTAAGTAGGCCTCTTAAAAAGCTTGCTTATGGGATCTGCTTTGTTCTGGTTTGCTCCTTTATTAGAAAAGAACTTATTAGTTCTTAAAAATTTTGATGCCTTAATTGCAGAATTTGAAGCAACGTTTAGTGATACAGATAAGGCCAGAACTGCTTTAAACAAAATTAGAAAACTCTCCTAAGGTTCTAGACTAGCTGCTATTTTTGCTTCGGAATTCCAGCAAATCGCTGGTGACCTTGATTGGGGTGAAGTAGCCCTTAATAGACCAATTCGGGGTGGGTTTTCGGAATGATATTAAAAACCTACTTTTTACAATAGAAGATCCAACCAACTTGAATGATGCCATATTAAAAGTAGTGTATTATGATAATTGTTTATTTAAAAGACACCAAGAATGGCAACAAACACTTACCAAAATTGGAATCAACTGACTAATACCGGTAAAAACTCAAGTTTGTCTCTTGAATCTATGCAAATTGATAATATCCAACAAAGAACACTAATAAAAGCAGAAAAAAGAAAGCAGTGAGCCCATAATCTTTGTCTCTATTGCGGCAATCCTGGTCATATAGTAAGGAGCTGCCCCAAGAAAAGTAAATAATAGTATAAAATTAGCAGTGCTGTTGCAGTGAATCCTGAAGACAATTCGAGAAAAGAGGAGTTCCAACTGTAGTAGAGGAACTGCAGTTAGATGCAAAGTTTGCCCCAAAAACCGAAATTAATCTTATCTATACTTCAGTGGCTGCCTTTACTATACAAGTACACCTCCTATTTCTAGACTTGTCCTAAATCCCAATTGACGCATTAATAGACTCGGGAGCCTCTGCTTGTTTTTTAAATTTAGCATTGGCCCAAACATATAACTTACTATGCAAAAAAAAAGAACTACCTTTGTCTGTTGAAGTAATAGATAAACATAAAATTTCTTCAGGAGCAGTTACTCACAAAACTGCTTCTTTAATACTTAACTTTATAAACCACATGGAGGAAATAGCATTCAATTTGATTTTGTCTTCTCACTATAAAGTCATATTAGGTTTATTTTGGCTAATTTCCCACAATCCTGTTATTAATTGGCGGGAATGTGTTATAACATTTCCTGATCCTACCTGCACTCATCATCGTCAAAGTTCATTATCACCAAAATTCCGACTGAATAAATATTGCAATTTAGGAAAATGAATTTTTATAGCTCAAATCTTTCATATTGCTTCTTTTAATAAAGAAATATCATTCTCCAAACAAACCCTTCTAGCAAAATATCTGGACTTTCAGGATGTGTTTGATGCACAGAAAGCAGATAAACTGCCTAGACACTAACCCTACAATTGTGCCATTAATTTGTTGCCAGGAAAGCAACCACCTTGGGGCTTATCTATAAGCTGTCAGAACATGAATTGGAAACTTTAAAACGATATATAGAAGAACACTTAGAAAAAGAATATATTCGACATTCTAAATCTCTAGCAGGGGCCCCAATTCTGTTTGTTAAGAAGAAAGATAGTTCTCTATAATTATGTGTGGATTATCATGGTTTGAACCAAATTACTATCAAGAACAGTTACTTACTACCCCTAATCTCGAAATTGCTTAATTGACTTTTATCTACCTGAATTTTTACTAGGATTGATCTTTGTGAAGTGTATAATTTAGTAAGAATCAGGCTAGGTGATGAGTGGAAAACTGCTTTTCACTCTCACTATGGTCATTTCAAATATATAGTAATGCTTTTTGGGCTTACCAATACTCTAACCATCTTCTAACACATGATGAATAATATTTTCTGAGATTTCCTAGATATCTTTGTTATAATATATTTAACTGATACATTGATTTATTCCACAACACCAGAGTAGCATCTTATCCACATAAAATTAGTCTTGAAATAGTTATACCAATTTGAATTGTATGTTAAGTTAAAAAAATGCGAGTTTGATCAGAACAATGTTAAATTTTTAGATTACAAAATACCTTTGTCTGGAATCTAAATAGATCCTAACAAGGTTAAAAGTATGCTTTTTTGGCCTATACTTTCTAGCTTGCGGAACGTATAGCACTTCTTAGGATTTGCAAATTACTACAGGAATTTTATTAAAAAATTATTTACACTAGTCACTCCTCTTACTAACTTAACAAGGAATCCCAAACGGTTTTTCAGTGGTCTGAGCTAGCACAACATATCTTTGATGAATTAAAAAGGGTTTTCACTACTGCTCCATTTCTCATGTAAGGGATCCTACTAAGCAATTTTTTATTAAAACTGATGTGTTTGATTATGCACTCAGTGCTGTACTTTCTCAATACCAGAATAACAAAATTCTTCACTCTATTGCCTATTACTCACATAAGTTTACACCTGCAGAAATTAATTATGATGTCTATGACAAGGAGCTTCTAGCTATTGTTGTTGCATTCAAACAATGGAGACATTATTTAGAGAGTACCCAACACAAAATCATAGTTTACTGCGATTATAAAAATCTTCAATACTTTACTTCTGCCTGTATTTTTAATTGGCAACAAGCCCGTTGGTTGCTTGTTTTATTCAATTATGATTTTGAAATTGTGTTTAAACTCAGAAAGTATCTTGGAAAAGCAGACACCCTTTCAAGAAGGTCCAATTATAAATCCCAATCTAGTGAAGATAACATTTCTCTATAGCACTCTTTGCTAAGGCCAGAAAAAATATACCTCAACACTTTAGTGTCCTCACCAGTAGATACAACCTTGCAAGATCAAATCTGTTCTCATTTAAAATGTAATTTATTAGCTTAGAATATCATCAAATACCTTAATCACTCAAGTAAAGCCCAAGGTAGCCCTCGTAGCTTCCATACTGATTATCATAAATTTAAATTCAAAAATGGTTTACTTTATTGTAACAGGTTGTTATATGTTCCCCGAACAGCAGAAAAGATTAAAATTCTCTAAGCACAACATGACTCTAATATGGCAGGTCATTTTGGAGTAATGAAAACTACAGAATTGGTAACTTGAGATTACTGGTGGCCAAAACTCCAGTCTTTTATATGAAAGTATATTAGTACCTGTGATAAGTGTTCCAGGTCTAAGACTCCAAGGTATTGACCCCAAGAGCTATTAGTACTACTTTCTATACCCTCACACCCATGGCAATCTATATTCATAGACTTCATCATGGACTTACCTGCATCGTCAGGCTTCAATTTTATTTTAGTTGTAGTAGGCCGGCTTTCAAAAATAGCTCATTTTATCACCTATAACAAAGCTATTAACATGGTACAAACTGCATACTTGATACTTAAAGAAGTAATTCATCTCCACGGTATTCCAGAAAATGTAGTATCAGATAGGGAACCTTAATTCATCTTAAGGTTCTGGAGATGCTTGTTTGAACTTCTGGGAACCAAAATCAACTTATCTTCTGCATTTTACCTCAGTCAGACAGACAGAGTAAACAAGTGAACCAAGTATTAAAACAATATTTAAAGTGTACTATTAACTATCAACAAGACGATTAGAATAACCTCTTACCCTTAGCTGAATTCTTCTATAATAACTCAATTCATACTTCCACGAAGAAGGCACTATTCTTCGCTAATTATGGGTTCAATCTCTGTTTTGACATACATGTACCTTTAAATTCAACAGTTCCCTCAGCTAAGAACAAGGCAATTCAGTTGTAGCAAATTAGAGAAAGCCTTATTTATGAACTGGAGGCTACCCAAAAATGTTACAAGTATTATGCTAATCTGTTATGACAGGATGCTCCAAATTTCAAGCCTGGCAACCAAGTTTGGCTATTGAGACGTAACATATGCATTCAATACTCATGTGATAAGTTGAACTATCAAAGGTTAGGGTTAGGGTGACTGGCATGGGTAAAGAATTTGGCATGCTATGTGGTATACCATTTGTCAAAATTCATACTCAGTGCCACCCCTGGCATGCTATAGCATGTCACAATATATAAATTTTAATAAAAGATAGCTATAACTCTCTAAGTACACTCTTTTTAAATATATACTTATAAAAAACTTCTTTAGATTCATTTTTGCTTAGTTTTAAATTATAATTTAAATATGCATTTTTTTTAAATTCATTTATTTGCTTTTTATTATAGTTTTAAAGCGCACTTAGAAACCTAACTATATATTATATATACATAATATTACTTTGATTTAGCTAATCAAATTATTTCAAATAAGTTTAAATATAATTTTACTAATAATAGCATGCCTAATAGGCTTTAAAAATTTTGGTATGCCAGATCATGCTATGACCAGGCATGCCACAATAGCATGCCAGTTACTCTAAATACGATCTTTAGATAACAATCTGAACCTCAATGCCAAAATATCTTGATGTATAAATAAGAAATAATATATATAGATGAAACCAAAAAACAAATACTTATTGTTTGCATTATTCAATAAGACCATGTATTTAAGAGTGTGGTGATGTAGTGAAGTGGTGGAGTTGTCACACTCCCAAGTTTGTTGGCTATAAGTACTGAGTTCAAATCCCACTGGTGATGTTTCGGATAATTTACTTGTACTATAGTCATGGTTTATTCCAAATTGGGCTGGGGCTCTGTTATGCCGTAGCTTGTGCTATGGTATCCTGTAAACTGGGGCATACCAATGCCTCACGGTGCTAGGAAACATAGGTGCATTTGTGTCATTGTACAAAGGAATGCAAACTAGTATAGGCAGTGCAAACCCACAATTAGTCATTCTAATCAATATAAGACCTACAGTAGCTTGAAGAACCGAAATCGGCTTGGCAAATTCTGATTAAGAAAGTAGTAGATTGATCTAACCAAGTGCAACCTGATACTTCAGAACAGATCTAACTAGATCTCAAAAATTAAAGAAGTTGTATGACAAAGATCCTTTGAGCAAAAGAGATCTACCAACCTGGCTGCCAAGAACATCTAATGGTGATTTTTGAAGGAAAAGTTCACATATTATAAAATTATAAACTAGAGATTGACCACCAGACCTGAGCTTGGGAAACTCGGGTCCGGCAGACCAATCTTTCTGGGCCTTCTGGATTTGGAAGTATGATGATACCAAAAGAAGTAGAGTGCAAAAAGTGATAAATGTAGTACAGAGATCTGTAAATCTTAAAAGGGTAGAAGTAGGTAATAGTAGAGGTTTAATGGTTAGCTCTGACTCCAAGTACATAAATTAAGGCATAGCGTAAATTACTGAAGTTTAAATAAATATATATATGGGAATGTACCACTCTGAAAGGTTTACCTTGAGGATAAATCAGAACATATAGTCCTGTCCTAAGTCTGGCTGTTAATCTAGTGGTGTCGCATAGATCCATAACATTTTGGTACACATAGTGAGGTTATACCTGGGTCTTAAGTCCTACACGGTGGAATTAAGAATATGATCAGAGGGTTTAAATGGGTACCTCCCTAGTTGGAGTATAGGTATGGCAAATAGTGTAGAACCTTCAGGCAAACTACTTAAATTAGGCACTCAAAAGGTGCATGTGTAGCTATATATACTCTCGTTGTATACTGAAATAATACTTAATGATAAAAATTACCTTAATATTAAAAAAAAAAAAAAGACCATGTATTAATTCATGATGGCAAATAATTATTTACTTTTTAGTATTATTTTAATAATTAGAAAATAGTAACTTATACAATAGTATAAAAATAAATAGTTTAGTTTTAAAAATTTTTAGAAACTTTTAGAATTAATATTATTCTTGAATGTATTGTTTAAAAAGTATTTAAATACTCGATTTTATCTTCAAGAAAACTTCATAGTGCATGCATTTAACTTTGAAAACGTTTACCTTATATTACTATTAACTAGTAATTACCCTTCAATAATTACTTAAAGAAACTATTGAATTATAATCTCATATATAACTTATTTTACCAAATATAATATGTATACAATATTGGGCAAAACTTTGTTGAATAATGGTAATTTGGCAAATAAACACATACTACAAAATAGCACATGTAGCCAAATTACTGTATTAGACAATTTGCCCAATATTGGTATTATCTGGCAATTTATGATTATGATTGGTAAGAAGTCGCTTACTAAGTTTTAATTTTGAATACTAAAATAAACATAATTATATAGTAATATAACAAAAAGAATTTTTTTTATGATTATATGAGTTTGTTGGATAATATCTTATATATGATTTACTTTATCAAATATAATATTATCTTATATATAACTTACTTTATCAAATATAATATTAGCAATTCTTTATTCTTGCAATATTGTTAACTATGTTAACAATACCTTTAATATTACTTGCATCAATAGCAAGTCAATATATTATTTATCATAACTAGAGTTAATATCTTAATCTAAATATATTTTTTATATTCGGATTAATTTAGTTTTATCATTTTATAAATCTAGATATAAATTTAAATCCAAATTTATTTATATCCAGATATAAAAACATTATATCATATTATATCACATGATATAGTATATATCTGGATATATAAATCCAAATGGAGATATTAACTCTAATCATAATATAGCTTAAACTACTCTTGTTAAACATATTAAATATTCAAAATAATCGAATATATAATTATCATATTTTATTTCTATTAAATAAACATATGGGTCTTTGCCTTGAAAATCGAGTTACGAAACATAGTAAATCATATGTCTCATACTTGATTTTCAAGGCAAAGACCCCATATCTTATTATTAAAGAAACTTTAAATAAATATAATATATCTTAATATCAAATTATAAATATACAACTTGAAAATAAAACTAATAATAAAAAACTATTAGTAAATAAAAAGACTAATATTGTAAAACTCACAATAACTCTTTCCAATAATCACTTGGTCCAAAATTTTTATAGAAGAAAACCAAATTTTGTTGGAGTGTTGCAGCCTAATATAATAGTTTGTTTAGAAATCAACATATGGCTAGCAGAACTCCTCTACAGATAATATTTGGCATGTAAGCCAAGAGCATTATTATACAAGATAACTGGCAGGAGGTGCTTTTGTATAAAAAATCTTGGTGGAGAAGAGGACTCTTTGAACACACCTCTTTTTCTATCAATGAAGCTCTTAGGCCATACTTCTTTGAAGATACTGGAAAACAACAAAATATCCTGTTACTTTTTTCAAGCCGCACTCTTTTTACTTAGTTAAGTGGTACCTTTTTACTCTCTCTCATCCTTCTGTTGGTCTTCCAAAAAATTTTAACAAAAAGTGGAAATTTGGCTTACTCCTTCCAAAAGATCAGCATTGTTTATTTTCTAAATTTAGATGGGTTAGTGGAATACAACCATGTGTTTGTTTATGGACGAATATAGCACTTTTTCATAAGATAGCCTGGGAACTCTAATTATAGTAGCAGGTGGCTTGAGATATGGGTCCTCGGATGATAGTAGCACCTGGCTCAAGATATGAATTAGGACGGGCAATGAAGCTATTTAGAGTTGGTGGAAAGGTCAGAAAGTAAATTTAATATTAAGGTGAAGCTTTACAGTAGAAATATACAAATACTGCATTTGTTATATAATTTTTATCAGCCATGTATGGGTTATAATAGTACCTTTAGGGTTTTAGATTTTTTTTTATGTTTTTTTTTTCCACAAGTAATGTTTTTTTTTTCTTTTCTGTTTTTTCTTTTCTAGTCATTTTTATTTCTCTTTGTTGGAAAATTTACCCTTTTGTCTTGTGCTTCTTGAGAAAAAGAGAGAATTAGAAGGGAAAAAAGAAATCCTAATATAGTATACAACAACCTGTCAAATGATCGAGGGGGTATTTTTTGTTGATACAAAATCTAAAGCAAGTTTTGGATCCCGTCATAAAACTTATAGTTGTTATAGCAGGTCACGTTGAATTTCAGCTTGATGAGTTTCTATTAGAATAGAGCATTATATTAGTCTAGATTGTTATTTGTATAATAATTTTATAGTAATTCATAAAATAAATAGAAAAAAATAAAAAAAAAAATATTGTAAAACTCTTATGTTGATTATCTATAACTATACTATATACTATTAGAATAAAACAAGTGAAAACTTTTAATAAAAATCAATAGGAGTTAGGGTCTTATAGCCTAGTGGTCTGGGCACCTAACCCTCCACAAATAAGGTTAATAGTTCGATTACAGCTTGTAGTAATTAATTTAATTAATTATCTTTGTAATCTTTGGGAGCTTTCAAATACAAAACAGTAGAGACAAAAGGGGAGTTCTGTGACACTTTTTTCACACCTCTATATGACATATTGTTAAAAACCGCTTTAATCGTCATCCTGCTATATTTTATAGCACT